AGAAGCCAAAAAGAATTGTACAATTATATTGAAACAAAACTATGATGGAGCTGGGGGAATGGGGGTCAGGCTATATTGCATTATGTAAGCTAAAATAGTTGGAAAATAACATTGGCGTGGAAGGGCACTTGAGTTCTAGTCACAGACCCATGATTTAATAGCTATGTGAACTCATACAAATAATTACTTTACTCTAGGTCTTGGTTTTCTCATCTGTAAAACAAGGTTACCTCAAATGATCTTTAGGGTTCCTCTTTGGCTCCCTAACATTCCATACACTAAGATCTCCTTCCCATTCTAAATGTTTGTGATTTTGTGGGTCTTTTCCTTAAGCTAACTATCTTAATTTGTATGGGAAATAACTTGGGAGTTAATCCCCAGAAGAATAAATATTGTCTGCTGACACAGGAGTCAAAAGAGGGACATAAGCAACTGTAATTTTGAAATAATGACAATAAAAAACCACCACAAAGATAGCTAGAACAATGACTCTACTAACAAATGTGTGTTGTTATCCACAGGGGAAATGTACAGCCTAGATTTTTACAGGTAAGAATAGAAATAACACTTCTAAAAATTTCCTGGTGAGAATACAAATGCAAATGCAGACTCACTGGCAAGAGTACAACTGTATAAGCACATCAAATCCAGAGATACTTAGTAAAGCTGAGTGAGCTGAACTTCAGCTAGATCTAGAATGTAAAAAGCAGCTCCCCAATCCCTCACCTCACTAGATCACTACTTGTATTTTTTTTTAACTGTACAACTGGATATCTCTGATCAGCTTTAAAGGGCTGCTATACAAACACTAGTTGTCCTAGTACAGGTGTATGTGGAAAGACTGAATTACACTCTCAGAAAGGCATATTTTAATCATTGAAGCTTAACAACTCTCTTTAGTCTACTTTGATACACACACACATGCTTATGTGCATGTGTGCATGCGTGCACACACACACGCACACACACACATTTCCATGATAAACCAAACCCATCTACCAGTGAGTAGCATTTGAAAACTAATTCTGCAGAGAAGTAAGTTGATGTGGGATAATGAAAAGGGCACTGGATTTGGACTTGGAAAACCTGGCTTAATGCTGGCTATATCACTTATAACCTGTATAATCCTGGACAAATCACTAGAACTGAGAATTTCAGCTTCCTTATGTATAGAATGTGACTTACATAAATGAAATTATCACTTAGTGCCTAACAAATAGTAGGTTCTTAATAAAATCTTGTTTGGTTTCTCCCTTCCTCCCCCAATTTCATAGTATTGTTGGGAAGAAAGCAATTTGTAAACTCTATATAAATATGAAACCGTTGTCTAAAACTATTAGTGATGGTAGCCAACAATAATGATGATAGTGATGACAACCAAAGTAAAGGAAAAACTCACAAGTGATGACGTTCTACTTCCAGTTCTATTACTCAGTCATTGTAAGTTGAGTTACTGAAACAACACTCTGCTCCAGTTTCTCCATCTGCAGAATGGGAATGACAAAAAGAAATTTATTATCTCTGTGTCCAGAAAAAAGAAAGGATTACATTGTACATAAAACAAATTTCTTATTTTGTGTACTTAGGCAAGTTGCTTACAATTCCCTGAATCTTAATTTCCTCATCTCTCAAATCTCGTAGTGAGTATGAAGCTCATATGAGATTTAAAAAAAAGTAAAGAAGTTCCATGGAAACACCTTAAACAAAATATAGAGAAGCATGGGAAGTCTTATATGAACTGATACAAAGTGAAGAAAGCAGAACCAAGAAAACAATGTATACAATAATTATAAGTAAAAAAAATTGAATGATATGAAAATATAAGAACCAACTTTGGCTCCAAAGAATAGATATGCAAATGTAGTATGTCTCCCTGGCTTGTTCCAGAGGTAGGGAAATATGGATATGGAACATTTCATATGATGAAGATATTTTTAACATGTTGGTTAATTTTAATGAGCTGCTTTTCCCCCTTATTTATTCTTTCTTATAAAGTATGGCTCTGAGAGGGGAAGGAGACAACACTGGAAAATATAGGTGAAGTAAATACATACATATATATGCACACATATACATATGTGTGTATACATATATATGTGTATATATATGTGTGTATATATATGTGTGTATATATGTGCGTATACATATATATGTATGTGTGTGTGTGTGTGTGTGTGTGTGTGTGTGTGTGTGTGTGTGTATATATATATATATATGAAGAAAAAGTGGTAGAGTGATATATAATTGTAGTCATAGTCCAAAAACCTTCTTATAGGTCTCTTTTGTCATTGGTGGAGATGAGTGCCCCACCCCTATGTGAAGGGTAGAGTTGGTGAGAGGACCAGGCTTTTCAAATCTCTTCGGGTTCTACAGTTATTTTCGGCACTTCTGGCTTCCAGCTTTAAGAAAGAAGATGGAAGATACCAAAACCACTTCATAATCACTACAAAAATTTAACAGGAATATTAATAGTATTATTAGGGATATCTTTACTTTTTGCTTTTAAGAAATCAGTGTATTTGAAGATGTTTTTAAAAGCAAGATTTCAAGATGTTATGACTAAAGACTTGATGTGAACCTACTTAATTTTAGATAAAAGAATGTCTGAGAAATGCTTAACTATTCCCCCAAATCAAGAAATACATTGGTCCTTCCTTGTATATTCTTTATGAGCTTCCCTGGCCAAAAGAATTTCAACACTTTGTGGTCAGTATTCTAATAATGAACCCAATGCCAAAGAGACTAGTCCTTGCATTAGACCATAGACTTTGAGTTGAAAGGAGCCTTAAAGTTAGTCTATGCTAATGCCCTTATTTTACAGATGAGGAAATTAAAGTATGGAGAGGATAAGTGATTTACCCAATGGCACAAAAGTAATAAGTGGCAGAGCCATGGGACTGCTCTTTCCACAATAGCATGTTGAAGAGAGGAAACATACTATCCAGTCTAGCTTGGGAAGTAGGCTATCTCTTCCTCTTTTTTGGCATACCCTTTGAAAAGCCAGGATTATTTATTTACTAAAACAGAGTTTTGTAAGACTTTGGTAGAGGTTAAATGAGAAAGCATAGGCAAAAATCTCTCCGTGCAACTCCAAGACAAATTAGCTACATAGCCTTGGTCTCTTTTTTGGATCTCAATTTCCTCATCTATAAAATAATGGAGCTATATTTGACAATCTCTAAGGTCCCCTTGAACACTAAAAGCCTGTGATTCAATGATTTTGTTTGATTAAAAGGTCTCTCAATGGTTGCTGAACATTTCAAGTGTTAAAAGTCACAGGCAATGAGGGATTTAGGGAAGAGTGTGATTTTTAGAAGTTATAAAGAGTTACAACTGGCGCCATTTTCCAGTCATTGCAACATCATAGACAATGCCACTATACTTAATTCATAGTGACAATTGACTTTAACATGAGTCTCATAAGAAGTAAGTATGGAAAATCAGGATGTATGGAATGAAAAATTACTAAGATGTATAAAATGGGACATTTTAATGTATTCAAGCTCTATACATTCTTAGTTACATATGTACTTACTCAAAGTCATCACCTTTAACTTTGCCACTAATATATAAAAAAGATGTTTACAATTAATTTTATATATTATGTCTAAAATAATATGGCCATTTAACCTCCATAATAGGAAAGAAAAATTAAAATATATTCTGTTTATATTTCAATTGTTAAGCAATTTGAAATTATACTTTATGTTCTGATTAGAGGAATTTCCACATGAAAATGGTGATTTAGCTTGATAGCTGATATGAAATACTTCATAGGATAGGATACTATAATCCAGTGTAAATAAATTCAATCCAAGCAGCTTCTTTTATTTAGTGATTCCAAACTGAAAAGGGCCTTACAGATTATCCATTCTAATGAACTTATTTTTCATCAGAGGAAGCCGTTGAGACTAAGTATGTTGCCCAATGTCACACAGGTAGGAAGTGGTAGAGCTAGGATTTGAAGGTAAGTCCTCTGACTCCAAACTCAGAATTCTTTCCATGGAATCAGTGGATAAAAATGTATACAATAAAAGAGACAGAAAGGAAATTCACATTGCTGTGTAGAAATTGGCCTATGCAAAGGCTATTTTCCCATCTCCTTCCCTCCTTCCTCTTTCAAAAAAAGTACAACAGTTTTTCCCAAGCTTGATCAAGGAAGAACTCAGTTATAAGGGTAAATTATTACTCTCCCTGTCCTCTTCCAGCTCACTGAAATTATTATGCACTACACTGGAATTTCCAGGCTCCACAGTGACATGGAAACCAAGGTTTCTTGACTATGATTTTAAAGAGGCTTACAAAAAGAAAGTAGGAGGTGAGAGACATATTGTTAGGAACATGGAGGCCCAAAGTGTTGTTGATCATATATCTTATGAGAACAACTCCCCCCATGATTATGTGAAAATACAAAGGAAAAAGCAAAAACACTACTGCTTTTAAAAGGCAGAATAGTTTATTTACCAAATACATTTTCCCCTAAATACATTAAAACTAGGTACTGAGAAAACCTCACCATTAAAAGCTTACCTAATGTGCCAATATAATTCCTGGAGGAAGCATTAACTAAATTCTCAGCAGACTATTTCCTGATTCTATCCTAGTATTTTGTTTACTCAATTTTGCTGATTTCATTAAAAAGTATAAACCTGGGCCCTTTGAGAATATGGAGTTGCTCAATTTAATAAGACAAGATAGATTTGTTTTTTTCTAAAAGTAGGTTGCTGTTAATGTTAAAATCAGTGACCAAGAATGTATATTTTGGAGTCAAAACTATGCTATGTGTATGACTGACTTTAAGACTTTGGTTCCTCGTTTCAAACAGTAAAAATAGACCTGTTGCCTTGTACATTGGGTATTACCAATTAAGTGGATAGAATTTTATTTCATAAAAATATTTTCATCCTTGACATAGAAATACAACTCTCCTGTTGAAAACCCCTTAATGATTTGCCTTCTAAATAAATTCAAAAGCCCTTCGAAAAAAATTTAAGCTTACCTATATCCTACAGACTCTAAGATGCATGGATTCAACATCATTCCCAGCTGAAATGGTAAAAAGAAAAAGAAAACTTTCAGCATAGTACATGTCTAATTATCATAATAAAACACTATTTAGTGCCAGATATTCTACCACTAGATATACAGAACTCCCACTGATTTAACTTGCTAATGATTAAGTCGGCAAGCTTTCTAAATATCATGCACAGAGTTAGACACTGAAAAATAAATCTGTGTTAGTGGCTTTGACTGGTCTCTATCATTGACGTGATTGTGAGGTACCCCAAAGCAAGACAGAGAGCTTTAACTCTTTTGTAGTACAAAGGCTGTAAGTCAGTATCATAATCACCTTTTCATTTACAAGGAAAATTCAATGAATCTGCCATTTAAAGGAAGTGAGGACTCTCCACAACCCAGCTTCTCTGCTGATTCTGTGTGACTCATGTACATACTCATATACCACCTGGGGAATTTCCACTGGGTGTCCACTGGACAATACTAGTTGTCTTCTTCTCAATGCTGCAGAATCACCAATCTGGCACATAGACTGGCCATCTATTATTTTTAGCTCTAAATACATGATCCACTTCCTCTTTTTTCTGTTCTTGTCACTGGATTAATATTTTATATGGCTTCTTTTATACAAGTTATGATTGGTGTTATGCTGCAACCTACTTATACTTACCATATGTCTCCATTGCCTTTTTGGTGACCCACAAATTTCATTCTTTGGAGACTGTGTTTCCATGATTCACAGCTATATTATATTGCATAAGATTATTGATGTTAAAAAAAAGACAAAACAAAACAAAACGAAAAAACCCTTGGATTTTTGAGGGTAAAGTTTAGGATCACTGAAATTGTGTTTCCCAAATCCAACCAGTTCCCTTTCTCCTCTCCAATTCTGAGCACAGCTCACTGTCCATCTGCCATGCCTATCAAAAAGATACATATATAAATATATTAATAGACTACCTCAAAATTAATAGTCACAGGAATATCTGAAAAGTGCAAAGAATGTAATATCTCACTGTGTTTGACTATAAAAACATCTGATTCGATAGAGCAAAATATAGCCTTAAATGCTATCATCCAACAAGGTCCATGTACATGTTAAGGCTATACAAAATCCTTTGACAAATACAACAGAAATAGCTTTGTTCAATGAAAATCTAATAATTTTAGGCAAAGAATAAAATAGGGAGATGAAAGCTTTCTTAATGTGCTTGCACTGTCATAGGAGATAATCAAAAGAGTTCAAATGGCAGGGAGATTCCCCATATATGATAAAGTCTTCTAGATGTTTCTGTTTGCATATGGCACAGTTAGTGCACCAAACCAGGGAACATTACAGAGCCTATTTAATAGAATTCAAAACTGCTTCAAAAATTTGGCTTCACAATTCATGCAGGTAAGGGCAGAGCCAAAATGGTGGAGAGAAGCCTGGAAGTTGCCTGGCCTTCCCCCAGTTTCCCTCAGAAACAATGTTAAATCAAGACTCTAAATGGATTCTGGAGTGACAGAACCCACAAAAAGATGGAGTCTTCTAGCTTAAGATAACTGAGAAGGACTTCAGGAAAGGTCTCTCTCTAACTTGGGTAAAAGGGGAGCATAGCCCAGAGGAGACTGTGACCAGGCAAGTCAGCAGGAGGCTTAGCCACAGCACAGATCAACAACCAAGGCCCCTCGGTCCTGGGTCAGCCAGCTAGTTGCACATCAGGCCAGCTGTGAGGCCTCTAGCTCCATTGCAAAAGGCAAATTGCCAGCTCCAGAACGCTGGCACAACAGGCGCGACTAGGTCTGGCCACTCTAGTGCAGCAGGCAAGCCTCAAGCACCTGTTACCTTGGCGTAGAAGGTCAGTGAGCAGGCTTCTGGTTCCCAGTGCAAGAAGCTTGGGACAATGCTCCCAGGGCTCCAGTAGTAGAGATCACCTTTAAAAAGTGAGCAAAAAAACAAAAAGAGCCCCAATGAAAACATAAATCCAGTAGAAGAAAACTATGTCAAAATGCCTATATGTGAAGCCCTCAAAAATCCACTTGGAAGAGTTCAAAAAGGATTTTAAAAAAGAGAGATAGAAGAAAAAAATCAGGAAAAAATGAGAGTTATGCAGGAGAATTATGAAAAAAGATTCAACAGCTTGGGAAAGGAAGCACAACAACTGACTGAAGAAAATAACTCCTTAAAAATAGAATTGGGAAAATGAGAAAAAAAATCCATTGAAGAAAACAATTCCCTTAAAAGTAGAATTGGCCAATTTGAAAAGGAGATGCAAAATCTAAATGAATAAAATAATTTCTTACAAATTGGAATTCAGCAAATGGTAGCTGATGATTCTATGAGCCACTAAGAGTTGGTCAAACAAAATCAAAATAATGAAGAAAAATAGAAGTAAATGTAAAATACCTCATTGGAAAGACAAGTGACCTGGAAAATAGATCCAGGAGAAATAATTTAAGAATTATTGGACTACTTGAAAGCTATGATCAAAAAAAAAAGAAAGAGCCTGGACAGCACCTTTCAAGAAATTATCAAGAAAAACTGCTCTGAGGTCCTAGAACCAGAGGGTAAAACAGAAATTAAAAGAATCCATCAATCATCTCCTGAAAGAGATCCCCAAAATGAAAACTCCAAGGAATATCATAAGCCAAACTGCAGAACTACTAGGTCAAGGAGAAAATACCACAAGCAGCCAGAAAGAAACAATTCAAATATCAAGGAGCCACAGTCAGGATTACACAGCACTTAGCAGCTTCTACATTAAAGCACTGGAGTGCATGGAATATGATATTCTGGAAAGCAAAGGAGCTTGGATTGCAGCTAAGAATAAACTATCCAACAAAAGTGAGCATAATCTTTCGAGGGGGAAATGGACATTCAATGAAATAGGGGGCCTACAAACTTTCCTGATGAAAAGACCAGAGCTCACCAGAAATTTTGATCTTCAAATGTAAGACTCAAGAGAAGCATAAAAAAGTAAACAGGAGAAAAACAAAACATGTTATTCAACAAGATTAAACTGTTTACATCCCTACATAGGAAGACAATACTTGTAACTCTTCAGAACTGTATCTCTATTAGGACAGTTAGAAGGAGTATACAGAGAAAGAAGGCGTGGATACAAGTTGATTTTGATGTGATGATATTAAAAAAATTAAGGGGTGAAAAAGAGGACTTTACTAGGAGAAGAGTAAAGGGGGAGGCAGAATAGAGGAAATTATATCACATGAAATGGCACAAAAAAACAGTAGATGGAAAGAAGGGAGGGAGTTAGCATTGTTTGAATTTTATTATCATCAGTTTTGGCTCAATGAAGGAATAATGTACACACTCAGTTGGGTATAGAAATTTATCTTACCCTCTAGGGAATTAGGAGGAGCTGATAGAAGGGAGAACAGATTGAAGGAAGTGGAGGTCAGAAGCAAAATACTGCTGAGGAGGGACAGAGTGAAAGGAGAAAAGTACAAACAGGGAGAAAAGTAGGATGGAGGGTAATACACAGTAATCATAACCACGAACGTGAATGGGAAGAACCCCCATAAAATGGAAGAAGATAGCAGAGTAGATTAAAAACCAGAATCCTACAATATGTTGTTTACAAGAAACATATTTGAGCTTCCCCTTGCAGGAGCCAAGATGGTAGAGTAAGAATAAGTCTCTCTTACCCTCCCTTATTAACCTCTGAAAGCCCTAGAAAATGTCACCCCAGGAAATATGTTGGAACAGCTGAACCAGAAGAAAGATGGGGATGCAGCAGCCTGGTAGTCCAGGTAGCTTGAGGGATTAATGGGAAAGACCCCTCTTGCCCTGGGGGAAGGTGAGAACTACAGAACAGGAAGTATTCCAGCAAGCTAGTGGAAAGCTCCACCTCAGCATACCAAGAGGAGATCCTGAAACCCAGATGGTGGAGCAGGCAAAAGAAAACACCAGGAACCCTCAAGTGCCTCAGTGAGAATGGGGGAACCAATGGAAACCAGCTTGGAAAACCAAAGATGCCTCAGCATTCTACAGCAACCAAGTCTCCCAGTGCTTCAGCAAAACCCTGGGAAGCATCCAAGAGGTCCCAAGTAGAGAAACATTCTGCAACATCCATCTGAAAGGAGCTGAAGAAAGTGAAAGGAAGGAAAGGCCAGGTGATCAGCCAACATCCAAGGGTCAGACTACCCAATCCTATCCCTAGAGTTCCGGTGTTGCTGATTCCAGCTCAACACCAGGTAAGCTGCTAGAACCCTACAGCCTCCAACTGCCAGCATCAGAGGCCCCAGCACACAAAGCCAGTGACCAGGCCCTGGGCTCCCAACACAAGAAGCTTGGGTCAGTGCCCCCTGCTCCCCAGCAGGAGAGCTCAATTTTTTAAGGGCCAGGAAATAAGCAAACACCATAAGCAAAAAGAAATGTGTGATAGATTCTTATTAGGGGAACAGTGAAGATTAAGGCAGAAATTCTGAAGAGGACATCATCAACAAACCCACATCTGGAACCTCAAAAGGGAATATGAATTGGTCTGAAGGCCAAAAAGCTTTCTTGGAAGAGCTCAAGAAAGATTTTAAAAGTCAAATGAGAGGGGTAGAAGAAACATTGGGGGGGGGGAATGAGAGGTACACAATGGAGAGTCAATAGCTTGGAAAAGTAAGGACAAAAATTAACTGAAGAAAACAAGTCCCTAAAAAATACAATTGGCCAAATGGTGAAGGAGGTACAAAATCTAATAGAAGAAAAGAATTTGTTAAAATTAGAATTGGGCAAATGGAAGCTAATGACTCTATGAGAGAGCAAGAATCAATCAAACAGAAACAAAACAATGAAAAAAAATAGATGAAAATGTAAAATGCATCATTGGTAAAACAACTGACCTGGAAAATTGATCCAAGAGAGACAATTTAAAAATTATTGGTCTACCTGAAAATCATGATGAAAAAGGGAGCCTGGACAGTATCTTTCAAGAAATCATCAAGGAAAACTGCCCTGAGGTCCTAAAACCAGAGGGGAAAATAGCTATAGAAAGAATCCACTTATCACCTCCTGAAAGAGATCCCAATCTGTAAAT